TATGCCACCACCGAACTGGCGTTGGTGAATGAAACCAAAGGGATAGTGTTCCTCCTTTGTCATAGAGTAGATTAAGCAGTTCTAAGGTTATGCGCCCCCTTCCAGATCTTCATAACCATGCATGCACTTCTAATTAATTGATCAAGTTAACTAAAAGGTTAATTAATTCACTTATCTAGGCATAACACCTCATCAAAGAAACTGAATCAAACCTTTCACATAAAGGTAGTAGGGATTGAACCCTTAACTGAGTTAGCTACTCATGCTTATTGAGTTAAGCATGAGAGCAATAGAGTACAAAAGATAGGACATGAATCCTGATCTAAAGGATAGAGGAAAGAAAGGGAAGATGATAGCAGGGACAATTCTGTCTGCTCACTATGGCGAGTGGCGTTTGCCACTTGATAGAGTAGCAGTTTGCCTTGTTCCTGCTACTACTCTGTTTCTAATCAACTAACTACTCTCTAACTACTTAGGACTAAATCTAACTACCCAATCTATTCTTTTTTTCTATTGCTATTGGCTAGGTATTTATAGAGATTTGGAGAGATTTGGATTGGTGGAGTTCTGGCCTTCTTCTTTGCAGTAGAAAGGTGACAGCAACTTGCAGCAGACGAGATTTGTTTATTTTTTAACTTGCCGAGTTGGCAAGTTGCAGTTTTCTCTTTGGCTGCTCATTCTATTCAGCCGCAATTTACTACTCTCATCATTGCATGTTCCTCTAACTCTTCTTCTCCGGTGCAGCTGCTCCAATTTCAAGCCACAAGTCTCTATTTCTTCATTCTTTAATCTTCAGTAGCCAATTTAGCAGCAGCATCAGCAGCATGCTTCCTTCCATTATTATGTCTTCAGCTCCCAATTTGGGCTGAATCTTCTGCCCTTTTCTTCCGTGTTTCTTGGGTCACTTGCTATGACATTGCTCACCCTTTTACAGCAGCCAATCCATCAACTCAGCAGCAGCATCAGTGGGTAAGTAGCAGAGTTGAAGTTGCTGCTTATCACATATTCTCCCTCTGTCTCTTCTTCCACTTGCAGCACCAACAACTTGCAGTGATGGCAACGCAATTTCCTTCCTTGGGCATCAAGATTTCAGCTAGTGGCTCCCTGTTGATTGACAGCAGCAACAGCTACTGCAACAGCAAATTAGACAGCAGGGCAGCTGCCATTCTTCCTCCTGATTGAGTTATGCTGCAACAGATTCTTCTACTTGCATCCATATGCTATCAATCTTCCTTCCTTAGCAAGAATTCCTCCACTTGCTCGAGCTCTGATCAGTCCTTCCAACAGCTCCAATTCCGGCAGCTTCAGCTCCAGCAGCTTTAATTCCAGCAGCTTCCAATTTCATTCCCTTTTGATGCCTTTTAGTGCAATTTAGTCCTCAATTATGTTGATTTTCTATATTGGCCCCTTGAGATACCTAAACTGTAAAATCATCCCAAAAGTAAACTAATTCTAACTAATTGACACTAAATTATAAGCAAAAATGAGCAGAAAATGCTAGCAAAAAGTGTATATATTTTTGCGTCATTACTTTACTACAGCTGAAATCAAAGATACTCTATTTACTATTGATGACAACAAATGTGTGGGATCAATAGTAGTTTTTATAAAAGTTCTTGGAAAATAATAGGTGGGGATTTATGTAGTGCTGTAGTAGAATTCTTTCAATCTGGGAAAGATTTGAAACAGATAATCACCACACAAATATGTCTGATCCCAAAAAATTCAAACCCTAGGGATGCCACAGAATATTGTCCCATTTCCTGCTGTAATACGGTCTATAAAGTCATAACTAAAATACTAAGTAAAAGATCAGGGCAAGTACTGGTAGACCTGATAGATTTGAACCTGGGGGCTTTTATCAAAAATAGATCTATTCTCCATAACGTCTTACTCACCCAAGAACTCATCAGGTTGTATCGTAGGAAAAACACAAAATCTTGCTGTCGTTTAAGGTAGACTTGAAAAAAGCATTTGACTCCATCCACTGGAGTTTTATAGAAGAGATTTTAAACCAACTCCACTTCCCTCCAAAATTTGTCAGTTGGATACTTGAATGCATCACCACAACTAGTTTTACGCTGAACCTGAATGGTCAAAATACAGGCTTCGTCCAGGGGAAACGTGATCTCAGACAAGGAGACCTGATGTCTCCTCTCCTTTTTGTAATAGTTATGGAGTATTTAACTCGTTTATTTAGACAAGAAACTGAAAAGGGAGATTTTAAATTCCATCCCTTTTGTGAGAAACTTAAAAGAGTCGGTCTCTGCTTTGCAGATGACTTGATCATTGTTACTCATGCTGACCTTCCTACCATTAGAAGAATCAAAGCAATTTTGCAGAATTTTGAAAGCTCTACCGGTCTTACGGTTAACATCCAAAAGTCTGATATCTACTTTGGAGGTGTTAAAGCTGAAATACAGCACCAAATACAGCAAACCATGGGCTTCAAAACCAGTTCCTTCCCCATTAAGTATCTGGGAGTCCCAATATCCCCATCTGTATGGACTCAGCAAGACTGCCAAGGAGTGATTGACAAGATAGTTGCCAGGTTGAAGTGTTGGTCTACCAGGCATCTTAGCTATGCAGGAAGATTAACTCTTGTCAACTCTGTGTTGTTGAATCTTCATTCATACTGGACAGGTATCTTCCTCATCCCAAAAGCTGTTATTGTTTAGATTGAAAGGCATTGTAGAGATTTCCTCTGGGGTAAAAAAGAGTCCAGAAGGACTTGGTCTTTGGTTGCCTGGGTTGATGTGCCGAAGCAAAAAAGATGGTGGTCTTCACATTAAAAGCCATTCTATATGGAATCAGCCATGGCAGGGAAACAACTCTAGAATGTGATAGAGAAGAAAGAGAGTTTATGGATTAAGTGGGTCCACACCTACTATCTAAAAGGTAAACAGATTTGGGATTACGTGCCTCTACAGGATAGTGGATGGCATTGGAAGAATTTGATGCACGTCAAGGAGAGTTTGAAGCAAGGATTCCAGAATGGCTGCTGGTTGGGACAGAAAGGAAGGAAATACACTGCAAAAGAGTGGTATAGATGGCTGATGAATAAGGGAAGGAAATGGGAAGAATTCAGAATGGTATGGAGCCCCTACAACCTTCCCAAGCACTCCTTTATAAGTTGGTTGGCATTAAAAGACAGGTGACTACACAGGAAAGATTGAAAAAACTGAACCTGCTTGTTGGTGATATTGTTTGTGAGTTGTGAGGTGGCCAGTCAGAAAATACTGAAGACTTGTTTTTCAGCTGTCCCTATGTCCAGAACCTGCTAAAGTTTGTGCAAGATTGGTGAGGGTTGAAGTTGCAAATCCAAAGTTTGAAGGTTTCAATCAGAAGGGTGTTATACATGTGGAGATATCAAAAACTCAAGCAAAGGGTGCTGTTTGTTGTTTTGGTGGCGACCATTTACCATGTATGGGCTGAAAGGAATTTTACAGGAAGTTTCAGCAAAAACGCCTTACTGAAGAGGAGAGGATGAAGAAAATTACGCAAGAAGTGAAATGGAAAATACAATTTTCTTGTAGAAACTGTACTCAGGCAGAACTGAGTTTTTTGTCAGGTTTAGGCATATACATCAAAAGATCAGTATAGCAAAAGACTTGTTGTAAATATGCTGCGTTTCTGGTATTTAATAGATTTGCTGTTTTTTACCCAAAAAATAAAAAGTTGATTTGTTGTCCGGGTGGCTAAGATGAGTTTTTTTTTTCCACATTTATAATTGGGGGTGTACAGGTGTGATTTTTAAAAATTTTTGTAAGTACAAATCAAACCCTCAAAACTCACGTACTTTTATACTTTATCTTCTAGTCCACATTTTTTACGTTCACATGGGTTTAACTATTGATTCATAAGACTATATATTGTTTAGTCATGAATGGTGAAGCTTATCAAACGAGTGATAAGATTTACTATTTGTTTCGATTAATCTGTTAATTGGCATTGAAAAATGTTGGTGCAGTTGAAAAGCAAAGTAAAAGTAGGGTTTAACCAAGGGAAATGGCCGCGAGAGAAGAATGAAGTATATACCATACGCTCGGGATATCGATGATTACTAGAAAAACAACCAAAGCTGGAGCAGAGTAAAATTGTATGGATCAGGATGAATATTCCGAAACATGTTTTATTTCGTTGTTAGGATGGCAAGGCATTTCCCTTGTTTTATTACATCCTAGTGAAGATGAACTATCACATTGAAGACACTTCTTGTGGTATTTGTGCTGCTCAGGAAGAAAGTTCAGAACATTTACATCATGCCCACTTGCCACAGAGTTATGGAGGAAAATCGGAGTTTGGTTAGGAATAAAAGAAAAGTTATTAGCGCCTAGAAGCTGAAAGAAGTTGCTGCAGGTTTGGAAATTGTCAAAATTCAAACAAAGACTTTTGTCTCCTTTTGTTGCTGCGATAATGTAGTCCCTCCATTCCAAAAGAAGTGTCATTTTGTCAAAACGGAGAAATTTAACTACATTTGGAGGATATTTTAACAATTTAACTACCCTATTTAAGTGGTTCTTAAACTTTGTGCAAGTTATAAAATGACATTTATTTTGGAATAAAAGGAGAATTTACATTTGGAGGACCAGGAATGATGCTAGTTTTGAGAAGAAAGTCTTTACTATTGAGACTATATTTTCAGACCTTCAAAATGATATCAAGTAGAGAATGATAGGATATTGTCTCCTGATGAAACAAGCAGATAGAAGGTTGATTTGTACTCTTAGATGTGCTAAAAAAATTTTGGGCTGTTTTTATGATTTATTTCTTGTACAGATCCATTTTCCTGATGTAATATTTTGAGTATGTAGGAAAAGAAGTGAACTTGGATATAAAGGCAGTGAACCAAGTTTTGAGATAGAAATGAAATTTGCCATTTACCGGAAATAAAGAATTATCCGCTGTAAGCAGTGGTCAATTTCCGGTTCAGTTAATCGGTGCCTGTTTTTTAACACCCCTAACGCCATCACTCCTACCCATCAATGATGCATTTGCTTTAAGGTAAGCGCAAATTTGAATGGAGCAAAAAAAGAAAAAAAAAAGAGTCACAGTAGTACAATAGTTTCCATGAATTTTTTTGTCAACCAAAGAGAATCTTCTCGCTCACCATAATATCTGTTCATCTTGCTAAACATTTACAACGCAATCTCCCACTAAATATTCTAGATGTAATGGAATCAGTTTTTCCAGAAAGGAAATACTATTCTGAGGAGTCACTCAGCTTCAAGCGCTGCAATCTCATACCTGACTTCTTCCAGATGTTCATTTATAGTAATAACTGCATCTTGCACACCCTTGATAGCTTCTTTCAGAGCGTTATCATACTCTGAATCTGCCTCTGCCTCTTCAGTTCCAGAAGCTTCAGTTATATTGTTTATATGCATGCATTCATGTCCGACGGTGTTGTTAAATCTGCAATTTGCGTGGCTCACTAGACGTTCAGAAGGACGACCAGCCTTCTTCAGCACTTGAATAGTAGCTGTCTGCAAATAGCCGCAGAAGAATACAAATCAGATTCAATAGTAAACCATCAAAAGAGATGAACAAAATGACAACATGCATCCTCTGAATCATCATCATCGTTGACAATTTGGATGTTTTGTCATTTTAAAATATACCGGATCATCAAAACACCATGAAAGATTTCCAGGGTCGAGAACATAATTTCGAGTACAATCTCAAATTCTTGTTCCCATCAATGTACTTCTACCCAAAATATTAGCAAACATAAAATTGACTAAAGAGCTTCTGACTAACAACTACTCAAATTCACAGCTTGAGAAGAATAACGTTTCCGGCTTTTTATTAAACCAGTAACTCACTCATCCATAATTTGGGTGCCATAGGATAACCTCATTTTAAGTGATTTCAGATCTTCAAATGGTTCTTCATATACAAAACTGCTCAAACAATAATCAATTAATATTACTCCCGAAACTACCTAAGCTAGGATAAGGAATTCCATAGGGTGAAAGAACATAAGCAAATAAAGGAAAAAATTAAAGAAAACTCCAAGGAAAAAGAGCATAGATTCATGGGAAATTCAGAAATAGAGTGCTCCCAATCAGTAAATCAGCTTACTGTTTGCAGATTAACAACTTCAAATGAATAAACAATACAGTTTCAAGAAAAGAAAACAGAATATTAAGTATATTAGTCCTAACTGCAACCACCCCATCTCAAACTGCCAAATTTTCAGAAAAACCGTAGATTATCAAAGAAACTCAAACCTAGGAGATCCATGGTGAACAAACTTTTTATGAAACAAATGAAACAATTATTCCAGTGTCACATAAAAAGATCCATTGTAGCATACAGAAAATAACTCACATTTACTTAGACAAGATGAAAATAAGGCAAGCATCACTTAAGGGTAGTCCAAAGGGCCAAAGTTAGAAACCTATAAGTGCTTGTGCGTTTAACAGCTAATCCTTTTTCTGAAAGGGAAAAAGTTGTATTAGCAGAATTTTACCAGCTGCAGCTTCTGTTTTTCCTGTGTTTGGACTGATCTGAGTAGACGAGCAAGATCCTCTCGAAATAAATCAGGGCTAAGAAAAAGAGACTCCATTTCAAGGACCTGCATGGTTGAAAGACAATTTCATGAAATAAGAAGCCAAAATGCTCCCACAAGAAATCAATACCAGAACAAAAACAAGGAAGCGATAAGCAATAGCAAATACAAACACGGCATCTCACTTCGTAACCAATTGTAATCTAAAAGTTGACTCACTTGTTTTGAGCAGTCATTAAACTCAACAGTAATATCACCGCAAAGTTGTTGGTAAGCCATTTCACTTCCTGAGACCATGTAATCTTCAAATCCCCTGAAATATAAAATAGAACATCATCTTCAGGTCAATCAAGAAAGATACCTCAAGCTTACAATCCTTGTGAATTATATGTCATACATGTGTAAACCACAACTTCTTTCTTCAAACAATGGAAACTGGTGAATGCACCCAATACTCATAGCAGGTGCATTATAATTTTGGTCTTCCAACAAAATTGTGTTCGGTGCGGGGTGGTGTGATGGTGATAAATTACTGGAACTATCCATTTCAGCAGCTATTTCTGCATCCCATATATAGAAGATTGGAAATATAGCCCATGAAAATTAAAAAATATTACAGATTCCAGCATGAACGCAGGAAAAAATGTAAACCAAAATAAATTCTTGAAGAGAAGGAAACTCTCTAACAGAAACAAAAATGTATCTTCTATACAAATCCAACGCGGAGCTATCGTCCATGTTATAATTCCCAGTTTTCCGATGGCCTTCATTCGTCTGATGAAGCCCTAATACTCTAAGACAAGCTTAAGTTCCAGATTATTAAGAACAAGACCATCTTTTCCAAGATGCAACAGTAATATTTCACCATTCCACTCCATCAAGGTTGCTGGGAGAAGCTTAATGCCATAACTTGAAAAAAAAAAAAAAAAACACTTTAGCCATAGCAATCATTCCTAATCCATTTCTAGCCAAGTTAGGGAGAAAGGTTTACCCCTTCTTGAGCAATGGAGAGGACTACTCGTATTGTGGTTGGCTTTGCACAGGACAGAGGAATTCACTTTCGCAATGCATAAAAACCACTATTGACACAGACAACCTTTGGGTCTCAACTGAGAAAAAATTACAGGACAGGGACAAGACTGATGGCACATCCACATTTCAGTAAGCAAAATTGCACTTATTCAAAAAGAAAAAAACTGAAAACAATCCCATTTATTCTCTTCTTACTTGTTCAAAAATGACTTGCCGGGTTCGAAATTTGGTTTTCAAGGAAGTGAAGTCCAAAAACAAAAATCTCAACAGAACAGCAATTTTCCTGCCATCCAACGAGGACCTATATTAACAAATGCTATAACTGGGAACAAACTAATACTAATCCCTCCAAAAACCAAAAAACCATTCAGCAACATGAACACTTTCCTCCACGCCGGTGACTAGTTTCAGCTACAAGACAGGAATATAGCAAGAATACTACTCCCCAATCAATAAAACTCACAACCCAAAATAAAGAAATCAAATAGGTACATAGAAAACCAGTTCTTAATGACTTCTGATCCAAGAAGTAAAATCCACTCTGTCCACCGCCAAATCCAAACAAATCCATACTCCAGAATTACGCAATAGAAATATAAAATTAATGTTCCGAAACAAATGCGAAACTCTTGAAACTCGTCCGTTCTCATGAACACGATTAATTTCTTCGAAATGGAAGCGTTCGTTTGGAAGCGGTTACCTTTTCAGACGGGAATATGCTTGAGCTCTACGCTGCTGAATCGCCACAAATCGACGAAGCAAAGCAACAATCTTCGAAGCATTTTCATTGTTTTCTGCATCCATTACTTCCTCTGATTCTTCGGTGATCTTCACCTTCGTCCCAAAATCTTCCATCACCGCTTTTGTTGTATCTCCCTCTCCATGTTTGGGCTTCAACATTTACACACTGTCTCAATTGCTTGGGTAAAACGATATTCAATTTTAATAGAAACGCAAAAACCATTTGCACGCCCACCCTCATATTTTAGGAAGTGATTTAAATAAGTCCCCAATATTTTGAATAAGAAGTCTTCTTCTGTTTTGGTCTTTATGCCGTTTAAAATTCCCACAATATTAAGCTTTTCCTCCACCGGACAACCATTTTGTCGACCACTGAAACCATCTTTGCCGATCCGAATTCAACCATGGCCACCGTCGATAGCTTCTTACCGACGGCGCAATTGACCGCGAGTGGGCGGCCAGTTCTTCATCCAGGGGAAATCGAGTCTAGTCTTGTTTCTTCAGTAGACTTGTTGTCAGAAGAGAATCCCAATTTCCCTCACCTTAAATCCGGACTTCTCACCCTCACCAATCAGCGCCTGCTATGGCTTCCCAGTTCTACTTCGTCATCCCCTGTGTATATCCCACTATCAGCCATCTCCCACATTTTTTCCCTTAAAAAGTCATTAAAATCCGTGTTTTCCAATCCTCGAATTCGGTTCCAGGTCTTGGCGTCATCCGATGGAAAAGTCGACCCGAAAGGTGTGAAATCGATTGTTATCACTCTAATTTTGAGGGGAAAATCGGATCCAGAGGCTTTTTTAGGGAAGTTTTGGGAGGCATTGAAAGGCAGAGCTTGGGAGGAGAATGTAGTGGGTGGGGATGGAAATCAGGCTGCCCAGAGCTCTAGTTCCGGGAGTGGAGAGGGGAGCTTGGCATTAAAAATGCCGGTGGTGGGCGTTGCTGGCATATTGAGGAAGGAGCAAGAAATGTGGGAGAGTACTGATAAGAGCTTGCAGGATGCTTTCCAAGACTTAAATGCTTTGATGGTATGCTTATGATTGCAAATAAGTTTCTCGTAGGTTATGGTATGCACATGCATAAGATTTGTACCGATTATTGTCTCCCGGTTTGTTGATTACTTTTGTATTCTTTTCAAATTTTATGATGGGTGTATGCGGATTTCGGGGTGTGGTAGAGGGAATGACTTGTTTGACTTACAATATAAAAGAAATCTCGGTGAGTTTTCTACGTTTAAGAGAAATTCATAGGAGAAATCCGTCGATTAGAAATTAATGGAATGGAATGGATTAAGGGCAAAGGTCTATTCCTTTTTATTTTGCTAGAGTTGTTCCTGTTGTCCCTGCATATAGAAAAGTAAACCTTTACTAATAGGAAATTACTATAAGAGTTATTCCGTAAACTATAAGTGAGGTCCTCAGATTGGTATAGTAAACTTGAAATGGGCTTCATTTGTCTGATTATTGAAAAGAGGAAGGTACTTATTGAGGTTTTGGTGGGTTAGGCAAATACCAGTTCGATGCTTCACAGATGAAGTTTGAGATTTATGGTCAATAACATACTTACGATATGAGTTATCTGAATTCACTTCTATGAAATGAAAGAGTTGTGATACCACCACCCAGGCCCAAGAGTCCTCGGGATACGAGTTCTTTCGTTAGATATGTTTTCCATTGTCAAACATGCTTTTAGCCTTTAGTTCAATGTAGTTCTAGGGCAATAGGAACCGACTTTCTTCTCGCTATCTTTCTTTAATTTGGACTCAATGGTTTACTTCTAATTAGTTCTAATTTGTTGGCCGAACTTTAAGGAAAAGGTTGGTTCTGGATGTCTGGATTTTTGTTTGAGATACTGCTACAGAACTCAAATGAGCAAGTTCAAGATTTTTGCAGATTAGCTACATAATGAAGATTATGCTCCAGTTACACAACCATTCTATCCGCATGACTTTTATGTTATTTGTTTCCTTTTAATGTTAGTTCAATTGAATTTTATGTTAAGCCTTACAGAACGTTATGCTTTTTAGCTCTATATTCACATTGTTGGACTATTGAGCATTATTACAATATCACTAGGTTTCCACTTGGTATATTGCTTGAGTATACACTATTGAAATCTTGAATTTCATCTTGAACTTGAGATGAGCCTGTATGCATCTATATTGGCAATCGTTTCACTGCTGATAATCAGACTTGATATGTCAATCACATTTATTGGTCCTGAGAGAGTAGTTCATATTTTCAGGGTAAGGCAAAGGAAATGGTCATGCTAGCTGAGAAAATGAGGTTGAAGCTCCTCTCTAGTTCAAGTAATCAAGGTGGTGGAGGACCCGAAGAAGAATTGGGTACCAAAGAAGAGATGCAGGATTGGTTGCTGAGTGTGGGTATTGCATCTCCAGTAACAAAAGAGTCTGCTGGTGCTTTGTACCATCAACAGTTATCACGCCAGGTTTATCTCTTGAACCCTTGCTTTCCTCATCTAGATCTTGAAAGTTTATTAAACTGAATTTCGAACCATTTTCTACATGGTAGTACTGTTACCCAAAAGGCATCTGTATTGCCATTTTCAGAATGTGTATTGATTTTGTCGCTTTTTAGATCATTTGTATTCCACTTGCGTAATTGTTTAGGATAAGATCATTTAGGTTCTTTTGGAAGGAGTTTCTTTTAATGAGTGTTCATAGATGGTCTTGTACTTTACACGTGTCTTGGATTTCCTTTTCACTGACTAGCTCGAAAGTGTGCATTCACCTTAATTGACCCCTGATAGATAACTGTTTATCCTTGAATCTGAATAAGTTATCACATTTTACCATTGCTTCACTTGACTGCAGCTTTTATTTACTCCTGTTCTTACAACACCTGTTCTTTGACAAATTGTGCGATTTGTTAGATTTTCATTCCTACGAATGTGTTATTTATATAGCCAATGGTAGTTGTGATGCACTGGAGTTTATCATCTGGACACTATCATGTCTGGTGTGGCATGTGGTGGTGGTGGTGTTTGGGGGGCGGTGAGGGGGTGGGGGTGTTTGGGAACTCTACAATGATAAACCACAAGCAAATAAGAGTTGTGCTCTTATTACAATTAACACCATTTAGATGAGTATAAATAGAAGTGAGGTGTGATATCGGTCAAAACATATTTAAGATTACCTCAAGTGGGCAATTTTACAACCAAGAAGTACAGTACAGGGAAGATCATTCATCATATGGTCTCTAATTCACAGCTTCATATCCTGAATTCAAAAGTGATTAGCATTTAAATGTTATATGAATCGTACGATTATGTACAAATATTTTCTGAAATTGCATCACTGACTAATGGGTGGTTATCGATTTTTCGTCATACTTGAAACAAGGTAAAAATTCTCCGTCTCCATTCCTTGGAAAAGTTCACGAACACTTCAGAGGAATTTTCCTCAGTTCAACCAGTTAGAGTTTATTGCTATTTAAGATTCTTTGCACAAATGGCTTATTAGGATGCTTAAAGGTCAGCATTTGTTTACCCTGTTCTACTGGTGATTTTAGAAATTACTGCTCAAGATATTTGTATCTGTTCTGGTAACTAGAATGTTGAACATTTCCTGAAATGTATTTCTAAAATCAACTGAAATGTGCTCAGCTGGCAGACTTTGTGAAGATACCCTTGGAAAGAGCTGGTGGGACAATTAATCTTATTGATGTTTACTGCCTCTTCAATCGGGCTCGTGGCACAGGTTCTATTCTGTAATACATCCATGCTCATCATCTTTGAATTTATCTATTCCTTTTGTGATAAGGATGTGCAATCCCCCACTGATTCAAAAATGTAACTGCAAATTTTTCTCCTGATTGTTGATCTTCTTGCTGATGTGCAGAGTTAATTTCTCCTGATGATTTGCTTCAAGCATGTTCTCTGTGGGAGAAGTTTGATGTGTATGATCCTCATTATATTACATATATTACATTACAATGCTTCTGTCCAGCCCCCAACACAGACATACACACACAAAGATGGCATGCACAATACAATGATAGACTTACTCGATTAAAGGGCCTTATCATTCTTTTTAAAAAATGTTTCTATCATAAGACGGATTTCTAATGGTAAAGATCACATTAAGAAGTCCATGGTGAATATTAATCTCTACCTAGGCTGTTTACGTTCTAAACCCTGTTGGTAATTAATTAGCTATTCCAGTAAACCAATATGATGTGAGTAATACACTTGTTTTCTTAATGCCACAAGTCTAGTTAAACTGCACACTCTAGCCCATCTTTCACCTTAGTGACTTCCCACTTTTAAAAAAGTTGTTATACTAGTTTTATTATGCAACTTTTTATATTAATATTTTCTTTCCTTTATCTGCAGTCCAGTGATACTAAGAAAATTTGACAGTGGTGTCATGGTAATCCAGAATAAGACACATAGTGATGATGAGGTAATATTATCAGTACGAATTCTTCTGTGTATATGCACTTACAACAAGTAAATATTGCTTTCTTCAAGTTGTGTGTGTCATTTATGACGTGAGCTAATAATAGTTTTGTGGTCCTTCCTCATGCCATTCTAATTGATGTCTAAAAGCAGTTGAAAACAGTTTCAGCCATCATACTCTTATCAGCTCTTTGAACTAAGTAGATTTATCCGATGTTTGGTTCTTAAAAAGTACTATTACAATCAACTGTGGTCCTCTTAAATTACTATTAGTTGATTGTTGTGACAGATATCTCCAGGTATTACTTTAGCTTGGGTTTTAAGTAGTCCCCTTTAAGTGCAGGTCTTTTCTAGAATTAGATCTTTGGTGACAAAGCCTGATGCTTTGCTGAATGGGGTCAGTGCCAGTGATGCTGCAAAGGCTTTGGGTGTTGCACCTGCAATGGCAAAAGAATATTTACTCACTGCTGAGGGCAAAGGTTTTCTCAAATAACTTAATGGTGTGCATTACATGCTGTAGGGTTGACATAATGTGAGCATTCACTTCTTTTTGCAGGATTGTTGTGCAGAGATGTAAGCCCAGATGGCTTCCGATTTTTCATTAATTTGCTTCAAGAAATCAATTCAGATGATATATACTTGTAAGTTACACTAGTTTGGTAATGCAGATGTAATCTCGCACTCTGTTGGATGTATGTAATTGTGTCTTCAATGGTATCCCAAGGTTTCTGTTTCTGTCAAGTTGTTGAAAGTTGGTCTTACTTTTATTTCAAATCTGTTCATTAAATCATGAACCCCTGTATGATACTCATTTTTACTTTGAACAGAGTGCGAGATTACAGTATTTATGCAGCATGGATTAACACCATCACTACTTCAAGGTAAATGAAAAATATGTCCTACATCAAGTAGTTAGTAATATGTTTGTGTGTGTACTTTAGTCTGTCAAGTTTGCCAGTCATCACTAAATGTAATATGGGATCTCAAACTTTCTGCTTTTTAGTGCAATCCCTCAAGAAGTTTAGAGTGAAGCCGTTAAATTGCCCAGTAGTACAAAGTGCCGAAGTGCTTATGACAGCAATTGAATTTGATTAGTGTAATAACTGGAGATTGTAACAGAATCGCTTTTTTCTTTTTTCTTTTTTTCATTAATCATCAATATGTGAAAATCAATACTGCTTTCATCATATGATAAGTCATCTATGGTAGAACCTGTGCAGTAGAAACATTAATCGTGCAAAAGTAGAGAAATGAAATTGCATAAGTGAAGGCTACTATACTGCGCGTAGTAGAGAAAATCAACTTCTTTTGTATTTCAGGTGATAGGACTTGCGATTTTCTTTTGCATTCTTCGTAACATATGTTTAAACTTAAATCGCCCAATACTGTTATACGAAGTTATAACAATCAATTACAAGTGACCCGAAAAATCATGTGGTATAAACTACACCTAGTCAAATCTAGATTACACAACAATATGAAGTTAGGACTAAACCAATTAGGAAAGGCCTTCTACAAATTTTTACCAGGTTCATGAGGAAGTCCACATTTGCTTTCCTAATTGCCTGGATTCACAGTGAAAAACATTTTTAACAAAATTGAGATATGGGACGTAAATTGTAAGGTATCGGTTCAAGTTGGGGATTGGGAAGAGATAGAACCCGAATAAGGTTCAACATATTATCTTCAATCAAAGTAATACTAATTAAAGGTCAAAAGTAAAAAAAGTACCTTGGCAGCCATATCCCGAGCTTTTTGGGGTGCATTTAAAAGGTTGTAATAGAGTACTGAGAAGTTGAGAGCAACTGTTAACCGCAGATGATGTCTTGGTCCAAGATCCGTCACTGCCAATTTCTATTCCATTTTGCACCAAAAAGAAAAAGAAATAATAGATTTAGTTGCTAATGCAAAACAATCACAGTTTTAAAAGTCAGTTCATTAATTAATTACTCAAAAGAATTAATCAAAGCCCCAAATAGTCTCAACTCGCATTCAAAAAATTGCTTTGTGGGATCAAAACAAGTATAACATGCCCATAACAATATTACAATAATCATATTGCTATGAATTGCATAAAAAATTCAGTATAATATTGAATAAATTTATAATCCCATTTTTAAAAACTTTTTTTAAAATATAGCTACAATACAAATCAAGTGACCCGAGCAGCTTCATACGATTGCATGGCTTTCTCAGCAGCCTCCTTACGATCATTTACATCAACTTTCAACTCAGCTAGATACCTAAACATATCTCCCTTCATCAAGTTCAAACAAACTATTGTCTCCGTCGAATAAGCCGATGGAATCAACACTTCTCTCGCCAATTTCTAGTACTCTTCGCAGATTTCCTTTATTTCCAGTTCGATCCTCCCTCGGTATCCATGTGTCATCACCACGCTACTCCCGGCATCCATATTCCTTTCCTCTATGCACGTCACCTCCCTCCGGAAAGACCGAAGCTGCGCGATCACGTTGTTCAAAACCATGATGAGTTTTTCCGACACGACCGGGGTCAACCCAAAAAGCGATGAGATCGTTCATGTACTTCAGAGCGTCGTTGTAACGCTCGGCTTCGGTGGCTAGATCAACCACATAAACAGGTAGTTCTCTACTGTGCGTATGGCTTTTGGAGGACCCTCCATTGTTGTTGGCTTGATTAGGGTTTGTTATTGAACGCGGCAATGAAGAGACAAGGCTATATATGCTATAGATATACAGTTCTGAGACAGTATTTTGTTTTCTTAAATCAGTGAAGAAATTCCCGTTTTTCAAATTAAAAAAAATAAATAAATTCCATGAACGATACAACAAAGGGAGAAGGAAGGTGCAAAAAATAATAATAGGAATATAATTGTTTGTGTTCATACTTCATGTAGAACAATAAGATTGCATTTATTAATTACTGCCAAAAAATTATAAGATTGCATTTTTTATTGGAAAGAAAAATAAAATAATACTAATAATAGGATTGCATTTCTTTTGACTGGGTATAGTTAGTGTTCTTGTCAAGAAATGCTTGGGAAGCAAGAGGCATGCGCTAGAAGTTCAAATATTATAGGGAGCGATGAAAAAGAAGGAAAGTTTATGCGAAATTAATCTATGTTAAATTGATTATGCGAAGGTAGTTTCGCCGGCCGCTCGCCACACAATTTCACCCCGAACCTCTTCATCATTCATTTTTTTGCGACCAAATCTTTCATTAATTTTTTTAACACAAACAAAAAAATGTTTTAAGACATTGCCTCCAAGTATTAGCACATGAAGTTTCTTATTAAAAGATAATTTATCGGGGGAAAATTGACATCATCCTAAGACTGTCATGAGCTCATCTGTCTTGGCACCCTCAAATTTGATTTGATTTTTTTTTTTTTTTGGTATTCCACAAACAAACTATACTTAGAGTTTATTATTATTATGTAATTTATTTTTTAGTTTAGTGTCGACCTACAACTTTCTGATTAACCCAATTTTAGTTTTAATGTACAATATTACATCTAAAGTTTCCTTTAATTTCAATCCTACCACCATGTTGCTAGGTAAATTTACATAATATTAAACACGTCAAAATTTCCTAATGTCACAGGTGATACTTTTAATGCTAAAAGTAATGGAACAAACCATGTAAATTCACTTGTTATACTTTTAATCTATCTATATTCTGTTTCAAGGACAAAGTGAGATATCACAGAATGGTTCTTGGAGCGCCATGGTTAGATGATCAACCTCGGAGTACAAGAAACACCAAAAAGAGAATTTCAAGTGTTCAACATCCTACCAATCAGCATCACAAGCTGCTCACAATTGCAAGTAATTTGTAGACAAAAGAAATATGCATTGATCAAATATATTCTTTTAAACATTATATTTCATGAATAATATCAGTATGTGGATGACAATGAGGTGCAGCCTAATAGTAAGATACCTCCCTCGTTTCTAATAGGTCACGAGTTCGAGTCGTATCGTGGTAAGTGGGGAACCACTGATTCTTCTTAAAACAAAAAGAATAATATCAGTATGTATGATGGTCAAATAAAGGAAGTGTCCCAAGATATGCCTGCATAGCCCTAGATCATCATAAAGGGTTCCCAAGTCAATACTTAGTTTGTGTTGTTGCTCCAATGGCGTAGGACTCGGCCAGCAACTAGTAAGACCACATTCAATGCCAATAGAAAATATGACGACTTCAATGCCAAGGAATATCAGTCTTAAACTTAACCATCTTGATTGAGTCTTTTCAATAAACAGCTACATAATCACATAAAATGAGAACACCAATAAAAATGTGCCTCTGCTACAAGCAAATAATGATGAATCCGCAAAAAGTTTTCAGAATCAATTGAAATCACATAAACCATCAATTTGTTCATGAATGCAATTTGGCCTGGTCTTTTTGAACCGCAGTTTCGGTCGACCCGATGATCCAAACCGAGTCGAATCGAAACTGAATCAAAATTCTAATTTCAGTTCGGTCGGTTCGGATCGAAAATTTTAAAAGTTGGAACGGTTCGGATCGATTTGGGTCAAAAGAATATCCAAATTGAACCGAAAAAATCCAAAATCAAAAATTAAATAATTATATTTTAATAATGACGTCGTTGACTGCCGCTACCATCTTTGACCACCGCCGTCGGTCGCCGTCGGCGACAACTTCCGGCCAAAATTTCGGCGACTTTGTCGGAAATTTATTTTTTCCGGCGGCCAGTGACCGTTTCCGGCGCGATGACATCATCGTCTCTTTTGATGATGTCATCACTAGTAAAATGGTTCATTTCAGGTCAATTCGATTTAGACCCGAAACTTAACCCGAACCGAAACCATTTGTGATCTAAAAGAAAAGGACCCGTTTTCGAACCGAACTAAAATAACGGTTTGGTTCGAATCGGTTCGATTCGGATCGGTTTTCTTCAAAAGAACAACCCTAAATGCAATATAATAAAAATACTCTATCTGTAAATGAAGAAGCGGAAAAATCGCCAAAAGTGTGCCCTGTTTATAGTCTGCACTTACAAGGCAATTAGTATGCTTCAAATCTAATTAGTTTGAGCCTTAAAAAAATTGGAAATACAAGGAACAAACTGCACAATAAACTAATAACATTAAAAGATAACCATGTTGATCAAAGGTATCAAAATTAATTGAAAAGTTGAAGAATCTTACCACATCGCATTGAACACCAATGCATAGTTCTAAAATACTCAATTCGTATTGAAAAACTCACAAAGCTTAAATTAATGTCTGAATGTTATTGCCGACAAATCCTTACATGATTAACATCTCAAATACATAAAGCTGTGTTCGGAATAACAAACTTTCATCTGAAAGTAAAACCAATAGCAAAAGCACACTTAAAAGCATCATAGCTACCTCCTTGCTCCTCGGACTGTAGGGTAAAGGTCTTTACCGATGTTTTTCTCGAAGTAATTTATCTCAGATGATCATTCTGAAAAAAAAAAAAGAAAAGAACATGACCATTGAACCATAGGTAGGAAGAACAAAGGAAAATAAAAGAAGAAAGTAATCATGATCCAAAGCTTAGAATGCACTCCAACGTTAAGGAAATAATGTCTTTTTTGTAACCAAGGCTAAACACTTCTTAAATTACATAATGTATAGTTATAGTGACTAGTTGGAACTGTATATGCAATTTTTAACTTCTAAAAACTATAACTGTATTTTATATATATATATATATATATATATGTTGCATGAAACTAACCACTTGGTTAAATTATTTTGTTAATTCATGTTAAATTCGTAAATGTGTAGGGAATATGAGGGTTCATAGAGTAGTACTGCAATTGTATGACATTGAGAATAATGACGAGGTCAATAAAACATATTGTATTTACATAGAAGTTTCGTAAACTATTTGGGGTAGAAATAAGAAAAAAACGAGAATATTATTATCTATTGTAATAGTCAGAGTTCATGGTATTATAAGTAGGGTTAGCCCTGTTTAAAGCCGTGAGAAAGGCATCAAGGGCGTTGATCCCAGTTTACTTATAACTACTTATGTTGACGGACTTAATTACTCTGTAATCTTCCCTATTTGGCTTAAGATTTCCTGAATTAGTTTATGTCCTACTCTTTAGAGATGGTATCAGAGCCATGAGAAGAATTGTAATTACTGATCCTTATCTCAACAACCGCTCCTGATATTCAAATGAATTTAATCCAGAAGAACAAGAAGACTGTTAAAAATAGTCTAAAACAAGCATATGATATTCCTGAAAATTTAGAAGAATTGAATAAATGGACGATTCCAAAGATTGAATTAAA